TACACTAAAACTCTATAAAGCTTAATTGTATTGTAGTATTGCAAATATGTACATATTAGTTATTCATATATCGATTTCCTCATGTGTAAAAGAATTGTTGCAATATTGCTAACATGTGTATGTATATACATAAAAATATGCACATTTACCATACTAACCAAGAAGCCAATGGCCGTGTTCCCGTCCGTTAAAAATATTTTCGAAATACGCGCGTTCATTGGAATGTTTCCACACCAATGAGTCATGTGCTGATCCTCCATACTTAGCGTTAATTCCCATTATATTCATTTTATGATCGCAAATCTGAAAAGTATTTACTCAAATAATGTATAACGCATTTAAAGTGATCAATTTATATTTACGATCATTGCATTTAGGCTGTGTCTTCCTTTTCGGTTGAAGTAAATCTCTTCATTTTGCGTGGGCCTTTGGAAGAAAAGGTGCGTACCATCCACACAACCGATAACTGAAAACAATAATTTTTTTATTGAAAAAATTTATTAAATTTATGTGAATCACCTCCTGGTATTGCATACTTCCGGTAAAACCACTGCTTTGTTGTTGCCGCATCACTTGGATTATGTACTCTCCATTGAATCCATAGAGGACACAGTACGGCTTCCAGCTTCCTAATAGTTTCTGTGACTATTCCCGAGAGCGTACTTTGGGCTACAGAAACGCGGGAGTCATTTCCGGTTAGCCATTGATAGCCACCTCCTCCAAGGACTTCCAATGTCGCACACAGTCTTAGGATTGGAGGAATATAGGTTGAACGACTTCCCTTATTGTCAGCTGTTATTCGAAGCACATAACAAAAGGCTTCGCGAGACAGACGAAATCGTTTAACGAAGCTTGAATGAAATGCATTATATATATATTTATATGTATGTATGTACATACATATGTAAACAAAATTAACAAAAAAAATTATAGAATATTTTTGCATATATATCGCTGGTCCTGTGCAATGACGACACAATTCAAAATTCAAAAAATTACAACTGTTACTAC